CCAACGGTCCTCCCTGGCCCCCTCCCCCCCACGTTGCTCCCTTGACACAAGGTAAACTTAAAAAAGAAGACGTCTACTGCAGCTTTCCACGTCACGATAGGGGCCCTATCATGACTCGAGCGCCCAGTCCCTACAGGCAAAACACGTTCCTGGCCCCCGCCGGCGGGCCCTGAAATCCGTCCGTCCGTCCAGGATACAACTCCTGGAGCGGGACCCCCGCGCTGGCGGGACCTGGGTCGAGGGCACTGCTGCCACACTGCCAGGCTCTTCAGAGGGTCCCATGTCCCCGGGAGCCCAAGGCGAACCAGCCCATCTTCTCCTGCGTCAGGTCCAGGTCCCGCAGCTTGATGCCGACCTCGCCGAGGAGGATGTTCTCCCAGAAGCCCTCCTCGCTGAGGACGCTCAGGCGCAGCTCCCGCTGCTGCAGGTCGCCCTTGGGAACCCCGTCGTAGACCAGCTGTGGGCGCAGAGCCAGGCAGGGCCTCAGCCCAGGCCACCCTCCTGGTGGAGAGGCCCCCTCCACAGACTCATCCTTCTCCCTCCCCAACGGACACCTCCATGCCTGCTCTCAGCCGAGCCCCCGAGCCCCTTTGCCAGACCCATGGCACAGGTCTGGCCAGCTGTGGGTCCACCGGACCCCCTCCTACCATCTCGTTGTATGTGGGGTTGCAGGTTTTCCGGGCCACTTTGGTTTTCCTCTTGGTAGTCTTCTGGGGGTCGGGCAGCAGGTAGGTCTTGACGTACGGGTCGGGGTCGTTGCCGTCCTGGAGCGGCTGCTGCGGGGAAGAGGAGCGGGGACACCCAGTTAGCTGTGCGGTGGAACGCACGCTTGGAGCCGAGAGATTCCTCCGAGGAGCTGGGCACCTACCAACCCCCGGATGTGCATCACCATGATGAAGAGCTTGTTGTTCTTGTAGGAGATGGAGAGCTTCACCTCCCCGCCGACCTTCCCCACGGGCCGAGCCCATGTGGCATCTGGAAAGGAGAAGAGGAGGGATGGCAGCAGCACCGGAGGGCAGGCAGCGGGTGCAGGCACCACGCGGCTGGGCAGCCACCATCTCAAGCTCTGCACCAGCTCCCAGCACGGGGCAAGGAGGGTGGCCGCCCCATGCAGCAGCCGTCCGTCCGTCCTGCTCAGGACGGCTGGGGAGGAACGTGGCACCTGGCCCTTCCCTTTGCTCGCGGAGCCATGGGACTAGATACCTGCAGGCTTTGGGGTGGGGTTGGTGCCAGCCGCCTTCTCGTCCCGCGGCAGGGGGTGGAAGAAGGTGTAGATGAGGTCGCACTGCAAGGCAAGGTGGAGGCCATCACCAGCGATGGAGGTGGCCGCGCATCGCCCAGTCTCACCGTTCGCGAGCGGTGCACGGCGCATGCTCTGATCTTTCACGTAGCACCTTCACCTCACCACATCCCACAGACCTTTCCCACCTAAGCCAGCTGAACCTTGCAGGGCCCAGCACCCCTGGTACCATCCCTATTTCTCAGGAGGAAAAGCCACTGTGGAGAGCAGCCCTCTCCCACCCGGCGCTCGCTCCGAGCGTCCCCCTCACCTCCGCCACCTCGGGAGCCGAGTGGATGAGGTGCCAGATGTAGCCGTTGG